CTGCACTCTAGTCTGGGCAACAGAGTGAGACTCCAACTCAAAAAAAAAAAAGGAAAGAAAATGCTAGGAGCAGAATAAAAACTGAGCGGATGAAAGCAATAGAAAAAAATGAAAGGTCCAGATAAAAATGGGAGAGGGAAACAGAAACCAGAGAATCTCAGAAAACAATCTTTTTTTTTTTTTCCACACTACAGAAAAACAACAGAAACAGAAACTGAGAGGGTGGAGAACTATTCCGAACCAAGTCTCCTTTTAAGGTCAAGAAAAGCCAATTTTTCCAACATGAGCAACAGAAAAGTATCCACATCAAACCCCATACAAAGCTATTATAAGAAAAAAAAGAGAGTAAGGAGTAGAATAACATCCCTAGAGACAGTGAAAGCATGCCAAGTGACAGATCAAAACTATAGCCCATTTCAAAACAAGCTAAACACACTAGGAAAATGATATAATTCGTGAGAGAACAACACATATCACAATTAGAAAAACTTAAAAATTTTGTGATAGAACTAAGGAATTAGAAATTTTAAAAAAATCATTTCAGAATGGAAACTTAACTAAAAAGGAAGATAAAAACAAATAAATTAAATAATTTCTGAAAAGAAATAGAAGGTAAAAATAAGGATAATTATACAACTAAGAAAGAAGTATAGTTTTTTAAAAAAAGATTTTGAGAGAAAGGGACAAATGTTTATGATAGTTGAGAAGAATCTAACATATAAGTAATAGGATTTCCTGAAGAAATAAAGCAAGACAAGAGAATAAATACTAAAAAAAAAACTTAATTTAAGAAAACAGTCCCACTGGGTGTGGTGGCTCATGCCTGTAATACCAGCTCTTTAGAAAGAAAGGTGTGTGAGGACTGTTTGAGTCCAGGAGTTTGAGACCAGTCTGGGCAACATAGGGAGACCTTGTACAAAAAAATCTTAAAAATTAGCCAGGTGTGATAGCGCCTGCCTGTAGTTCCAACTACTTGGAAAGCTGAGGCGCCAGGATTGCTTGAGCCTAGAAATTGGAGGTTGCAGTGAGCAGTGATTGTGCTACCGTACTCCAGTCTAGGCAACAGAGCGAGACTCAAACTAAAAAAACAAAAAAAGGAATTTGATATCAACTAAATGAAAAAAGTTATCTGTCACTTATTAAAAAATATATATATATAAGACATAAGTCAACATGGAGATGCATTTCAAAATATCAATCCAACTTTGAAAGGCCTAAGTCATATAGATCTTTATCATAGGCTTCCTTGAATGAGTGGCTCAGACATTTCACACAGAGCAAAGCTTCTTGTCAAACATATTTATACAACCTCTTCATCTCTTCAAGGTTTCTTTCTCATGGAGTAGCAAGAAAAAAATCTTTCCTTCCCTCTCATCTGTAAATCCACTCACTGCCACACTGCTTCCCTTTATATTTCCTCTTTATGGTCCTACTGCTTACGCCTCACACTTGGAAGAGACCCATCTTGAAATGTGCAGCCCCCTGGCAAAAAACACAGTAATCACAGTCTTCATTCTTTGCACCCTATCTCTAAGCTAAATTCAACATCATCCCAACAAAATGTACATCAAAAGGTTATATAAAAAGCAATTTTGTGTCTCTTTTCAGTGTAACAAGTTTATCTTACCACAAATACTGTCAAGATATTCTGATCTAACCACAAATATCAAAAAAGATATTCTAATCTTAGTAGGATATTGTCATATTAAAATTAATATAAGAACTTTAAAGTAATAGTTTTTGAACTTGACATCTGGCAGATGAGAAAAGTGATCATTTGATTGTATTTTGTCAATTTTGAACTGCAGAAAATTTTGGATAAGAGTGTAAGGACATCAGATAGTAATATTAATACTCTCTTTTGGTTGTAAAATATTCTCTGGAAAATGTTGGAGAATGAAGCTTAAGACTGAAGGATGAAATAAAGACTGAAGGATATGTTACAACCACTGTATTTCTAATACACTGAGTATTCTTTTAGTGATGAGAATCTAGTAAGTGCACGTGTTTCTATTGTAAAGGGGTTGATTTTTCGTATTTCTGTGTATACGTAGAGGTATTAAATCATTTTGTAATTTAGTTAAAATGCCATACAAATTTTGCCTCATTTAAGTAAAAGATTTCTCAGTTGGATGTATATTTCTTAAAGACTACCTAGTAGTGTTTCAACTGCTATATTTACACCATTTTTCTCAAAGAACTTAAGGAAAATCTTAAATCAGAACTCCGATTCTGATCCCTCCATGATAGTAACCTGAAGGCCAGTCGTGGTGGCTCAAGCCTGTAATCCCAGCACTTTGGGAGGCCAAGACGAGAGGATTACCTGAGCTAAGGGGTTCAAGACCAGCCTGGGCAACTTGGTGAGACTTCATCTCTATGATAAATCAAAAAATAAGCCAGGCATGGTAGCACACACCTGTAGTTCCAGCAACTTGGAAGGCTGAGGCGGAAGGATCGCCTGAGCCCAGCAAGTAGAAGCTGCGGTGGCCATGAGTGCCACTGCACTCCAGCCTGGGTGACAGAGTGGGACTCCAACTCAAAAAAAAAAAGAAAGAAACCCGAATTTTCCATGTAGATCCTTTTTTCTTCAGATTTTGTAGAAAAGTTTAAAGAATGGTACTATGAATACTCTTATCCATCCACTTAGATTCAACAACTATTAACATTTTGCCACACTGCATTATTTTTCTTTCTATATTTTCTTTCCCTAAACCATTTGAAGGTAAAATACAAGCATCATGACATTTTACCCCCAAACACATCAGGCAATGCTGCTCGTTTAAAAGTAGAGGAGACAACCTAAGACATGGCAGGTGAATTTTTTTAGTTTTGCTAGAATTTACAATACATTTTTTTTGCCTTTTTCATCATTCAAAAAAATATTACAGCATATTTATAATATGAATTAGTATAGCATATAATGAGAAAATATTGTGAAATGTCTGATTTATCTAAATCTTTAATACTAATAATAGTAAGAAAATGCTTTCAGTAACATGTATGTGATAGGGTTTGTAGGGGGATGGGAGAGGAGGTTGTAGTTAAACCTCGCAAATAGAGCACAGATTTGCAAAGGCCCAAAAAGCTAACACTATGCTCTAAAAGTGTCCTGTTACTAATTGTACTAATTGCTTTACTGCCAATATCTGCTTTCCTGAGACCCATCACAAAGCTATGTGACTGATAACGTCCTGGTACCCACTGTCAGTGTTTGCTTTCCTAAGACTGCATTCAGAGACAAATAATTAACTACATCCTGAGAGAGACTGGTTTAGTGCAGACATCTGCACTTCAAGGCCATGGGACCAGCAGCCCCCAACAGTACTGACATCTGCATCTCAAGGCCAGGCAACAACAGTTTAAACTCCCTACACTGCTTCTCAAAGCTGATAAGCCTTGACTGGGGTTTTATAAGGGGCCTGCAAGAAAACAAAACTGCTGGTTCTTCTTTAGGGCCAACCTTTCTGTATGACTACATACTGAACACTATACTAGACACATTACCTCTTTTAATCTTCAAACAATCCTTCATGGTAGGTATTTTTGTTATTCCCACTTTGTATATTAGTAAACTAATGATTCTGACTCCAAAACCTTTCTTCTTTCCACTGTACCATGTAAAACAAATATCAATAGTCTCTTGATTTACCTAAATTCATTTGGGGAAAAAATGTGCCCCAAATGGTGGAATTTATAAAGACACAGGCTCCTTTCGGTAAATCTTTTTCCTCCTTGCCCCTTATTTACTAAAATTAACTTTGTGTCTTTAAATTATCTTAATGAATACAAACCAGTTAAATAGGAAAATTGAAAAGCATTGACATGTCAGATGTGACTGAGTAAATTTAGTGATTTTATTTGGGATGGCATTAGTATTCTAAATAAGGGGGATGTAAGATGTATTTCCTCCCTGATGATTAATAAGTTTGAAGATTGAGAACACATGGTAACTGATAACCATAAATATCTCAATAACATAAATGAATTAACCTATATGAAATGACAAAGAACTATGTGAAATAAAGTAAACATTGAGCAAGAAGAGTTCTTCGAACAAGTACAAGTAATCAAACACAACAGTAAATAAAGTGCAATTATGGCACTGGAGAAAAACCTCACAGAGTTTTGGATGCACCAGGGGAAGGACAATGCATTCACTCTTTCATACATTCTCTTAGTGCATGCACATATGCGTAAGCACATGAATAAGTGAGCAAATCACCCCCTCACCTTCCTAATCCTAATCGAATGTGCAATACCCATGTTAGAGCTGTTCCAGTCACACCCAAGGCCTAACTCTGGTAGCCTGAGCCGAGAGTCTGGCCCGGTTCCCATGTCATTTGCATTCTACAAGTACCCTGCCCCTACTTCAGCCTTCCTACTCTCTGTTTAGGTCTTCTTAAATACCTTCAGAATGCAGGGAATCCCAAGAGGTCTTCATTTCTGCAGACTGTATCACCTTCATGCCAACATACAGAGAAGGGTCAGAAATTAGAAAACAATGAGGGATTTAAACAGGCTGAGAGCTTTGGTTTACAAAGAGGACAGAAACTGGGAATTCCCACAGCCAGCCCTCAACTCAATCCAGAATACCTGCAGGGCAGAGGCCTTGACAGACTGTAGGCCTCCAGTTAGAATCTGGATCATATTTTCAATACAGGGCATATGAGATAATTGGCCACAATCATCAAATACCACGTGTGATGAGAGAAAAGGTTCCTGCCTTGGGGTCTGTAAAAGAAGGGTCAGAAAAGGTTAAGGAGTTAGATGTCAATATACATATCCCACCATCTGGCCCTTGACTGCCTACCCACCTCCACACATACCACCCACCCGCCACCTCACTTGCAGGATGTTGGCCACAAAAGAGGTTATCTCCTCTTCCAAGATAGAAACGAGGCTCTGACAAATCATGTAGTCAACCAGGCGAGCAAACTTTCCTAGCTGCAGCCACCAGGCCTCTGCTTGCTTCAGCTTCTGCTCCAGCTGATGGTGCTGTACCTTCTGAAGGTATATGGAGCCTTGGCCTGCCCTGATCCTGTTGCAGTTTTGCACTCGCTCCTGCAGGTTCTTTTGCATGTGGTATGTGTCCTCGTGGATCTGTCAGCATAGAGAGTAGAAACTCAATGGAGATGGACAACAAACCGGCTACGCACTAGTCTGTGTGCAAACTCTTGGAGCCTGGGTGGGACCTAGAACCTGGATGTACACATAAAGTGCTCCTTTTTCGTAGTGATTAGTCCCCAGAGTTTTAAGTGACCAAAGAAGACGTGAAATGGAGAACATATCGAAAAGTTACAATGTGCTGATGTGATAGGCCAGGCCTGTCTACTCAAAGCCCCCAGGGTGGATGGAATGTAAATAGAAAAATGTGTGCATATGTAGAGATGTTCACAATGCATAGAATAGACAAATAAATAAACCAAAAAAAGATTGAATGGGGCTAATCCTTTCTAGGATATGGACTCCAATTATTAGGCTGGGGTGATGTGGCCTGCTAAGTAGCATAATACTGCTTTATGTTACAGCGGAAAGACATGGCTACTATTAAATGAGAAAAAAAGTAGTCTTATGGAGGGCCTAGATGGCTGAAGGCATCATATGATTCCTGTTCTCAACAAAGAAACCTAAATGGAGGAGCAGTCCCAGGCTTTGAGCATTGGCCTGAGTAAAAGCAACTGTGACAGAGAGGGGCTAAAAACAGATAAAATTATTCCTTTTAAAAATCGACCTGTAGGCTCCAAACCTGATAGATATGAGGCTTGAGAAAACTAAATAGCCACAAGGCGAGACTCTCTGTTTCCCTGCAATCACAACAGCTGTTTTTTGGGGGGGAGGGGGTTTGTCCCACACCTCACACAGTCTTGGAAATGCAAGATAGTAACCAATTCACAACCTTAACCCAAATCCTGTCTTTGTAAAGTTATTGGTTTATAAGCCCTGCTTGTTATGCATATCCTGGAGACCATTTGTTCTTTGAAAATCGGTTTTGCTAAGTAAAACCTTGCAAATTCCAAAGAAAAATGTATAGCCATATAACCCAACCCCCTCCCTTACCTAAACTAACAGATAAAACCCCTCTCCTCTCTCTCCAGGGGGCTGTCTTGGCGCATTAGCCCGTTGAGTCATGCCAGCACTGATAAACTGCTACTTCCTAAGATAGCCTCTGTGTCATGGCCTCTCTGTTTTCCTGCAACACAACAGTTTTGTGGTTTTTTTGGTCCCACACACCTCACACAATCCTCTGCAGTCCCAGCCAAGAGAGAGACAGCCCAGGCCTCCCCTGGAACACTTCCTGCGCTGGCCAGGCACAGAGAACTGCCCTGAACTGGGACAAAGGCACTGGTGACATCCACATGAGGCCAGGGAACCCCAGTTCCCGGTGAGTCCCAGCGCAGGTGGCTGTCAACTCCCCCACAGAGAAGCTCTGCAGGAAACATCCTGAAGGGGTGGTCTGTGCCACGTGGTGCTCCCCTCTACCAGAGCCATCATTGCTGTGATAGCTCCTCTCATGGAGCAGGGAAGGAAACAGGAGGCAGTGCAGCATGGGGGAGTGGCGGCCCCACCCATTTTCAGACTGAAGGAGAAATACCAACTCCCCGCTGACAAGACAGCTGCTTCCCTTCTTCCTCCATGTCCCCAAGAACACCTGTGTCAGAGTAGAGCCACAGGGCACCTCCTTGACACCTGCCAATCCTACTGACCAGACATGCAGGCTGGGGAGAGGGCCACCAAAGCTCTTGAACAGCCAGGGCCTCTGGCGCTTGTCCCACAGAAAGGGGAAAGCCTTTAAGTTGGAAGAAAGGACTTGCCTCTCCCCTGCCAGACTGCACCAGTGAAGTAATTCCAGACGGTTTCCCCCCTGTTCAGCACCTCTGCCCCTCCTACAGGTGTACCAGAGGAGAGGGGTCAGGTTAAAACAAGTAAACAAACAAACTAAAAAACCATTCTGCCACCCTAATGGTAGCAAATAAACAAATAAAATAAATAAAAAGACAAGAGCCTGCCCTCACAGATAAGGAAGAACCAGCAAAAAATTACAGGGAGTTCCCAAAGCCTTAAAAAATGGACACCCACAAAGGGACTTCTAGATCCCAAGCAATGGAACCTATCCAGAATGACCTGGCTCCAATGACAGACACAGAATTCAGACTATGGGTGGGAAATATACTCAATAAGATCCATGAGAAGGTGGACACTCAAATCATCCAGGCCACAAAAATAGTATAGGAAATGAAAGCAGACCTGGAAATTCTAAGAACCAAGCAGAACTTTTGGAAATGAAGAATTTTCTCCTAGAATTTCAAAACCCAACAGCAAGCCTTAATAGCAGGATCGGCCAGGCAGAGGAAACACTCTCAGAGCCTAAGGATCAAATTATTGAGCTAACCCAGTCTGATAAAAACAAGGAAAAAGACTTAGGAAGAATAAGCAAAGTCTATGAGATGTCTAGGATTATGTAAAGAGAACAAATTTATAACTGGTTGACATCTCTGAAAGAAGGGGTAACTGAGAACACCCTGGAACAGCTTTCCAAGATGCCATCTAAGAATACTTCCCTATCTGGCTTGAGAAGAAGCCATGCAGACACAAGAGATTTAAAGAACTCCTGTGAAGTATTACATTAGAAGACAATCCCCAAGGTACATAATAATCTGGCTCATCAAGGTGAGTATGAAAGAAAAAATTCTAAGGCAGCTAAAGAGAAGGGACAGATCACCTACCAAGGAAGACCCATCAGAAATGCAACAAACCTCTCAGTAGAAAGCTTACAAGCCAGAAGGGACTGGGGTCCCATCTTTAACATCCTTAAAGAAAAGCAATTCCAGCTGAGAATTTCCTACCTCACCAAGCTAAACTTCATTAGTGAGAGAAAATTAAAATCCTTCCCAGACATCCAGTACCTAAGAGAATATATCACCTCCTGACCTTCAGGAGATACTTAAGAAAGATCTGAGCATAGAACTGAAAGAACGGTTCCACCCATGACAAAAACATAGGTAAGCACAGAGTTTACAGACCACAGAAATGATCCACAAAACCTAGAATACAAGGCAGCCTCTTTTTTTTTTTTTTTTTAGAACAATTGGATTTTTTTTTTTTTTTTTTTGAGTTGGAATCTCACTCTGTCATCCAGACTGGAGTGCAGTGTCCTCAACCTGCTGGGCTCCGGCGATCCTTCCGCCTCAGCCTTCCGAGTAGCCAGAATTACAGGCATGCGCTACCACGCCTGGCTGATTTTTTGATTTATTGTAGAGATGAGGTCTCACCAAGTTGCCCGGGCGGGTCTCGAATCCGCGGGCTCAGGCAATCCACTCACATCAGCTTCCCAAAGAGCGGGATTACGGGCTGAGCCACCGAGCCTGGACAATTGGATTTTTATTTAGCCACGTAAACTCAAAAGGTATCTTGTAGTGATTACAACAATTGTCTTCACATTATGGGGAAATACATATTTTATTAACTACAAGAGGTACTGAATTTGGTACAGTGATGCACTTAGAGAAAGCTGTTATGAAATTTACAATGTGCCCATCTTGAAAACCAAGATTTAACTACTGACTACTGACAACATTAGCTGCAACTCCCCAAATACACCCATGTCCATACACTAATATGGCAGAAAGGGGGCTGGTAGCAGTTAAAGGTATTCCTTTTGAAAGTCAATCGGTAAGCTCTGAAAACCCGCCAGACCATTTTGTTTGAAAAAGCCAAATAGCCAAAGACTGCTTTCAAGGAAATGCAAAAGAGTGACTACATCACAAACTTACCCAAATCCCCTCTTTATCAGTTTACAGTCCCTACTCACCCTGCATTTCCTGGAAACCATTTGTTCTTCAAAAATCTGATTTTGTTAAGTACAACCTCGTGAATTCCAAAGAAAATGTGTAATCACTCAACATGACCCCCCTCCCTTACCTAAACAAAGGTATAAGACCCCTCTCCTCCCTTTCTGGAGTGCTCAGCCTGGGAGCATTAGCTCGCCAGCCTGGGAGCATTAGCCCGCGGAGTCCACCAGCATAAATAAAATTACCACTTCCTATAATAAGCCTTGGTGTCATGGCCTCTCTGTCTTCCCACTACACAACACATGCTAACATTCCCACTAGTTCTGCATGATGGCAGCCAAAACTAAGAACTGCAAAATGTATAATGGAAGAAAATTGAAAATACATAGTCTCAAATCCCAGTCACGTGATTGGCCTTGTTAAATGAAATGAAGATAAAATTATTCCTTTTAAAAATCAACCTGCAGGTTCCAAACCTGATAGACAAGAGACTTGAGAAAACTAAATAGCCGCAATGTCATGATATAGCTAGAAGATGTGAAGTGGAAAAAGCATGGCAAGTCATGCTATGTCTCTAAGCTTTCTTGTCAATACTTCCTATTATTTTTTTGAGTTGGAGTCTCACTCTGCCTCCCAGGCTGGAGTGCAGTGGCACACTAACAACCACACCAGCATCGACCTGCTGGGCTCCGGCGATCCTTCCACCTCAACCTTCCAAGTAACTGGAACTACAGGTGCGCCACCACACCCGGCTAATTTTTTTTTTTTATTTATTGTAGAGATGAAGTCTCGCCAAGTTGCCCAGGCTGGTCTCAAACCCACAGGCTCAGGCAATCCACATGCCTGGGCCTTCCAAAATGCTGGGATTACAGACTGAGCCACCGAGTCTGGTCAATACTTCCTATTTCTCAACACGGAGAAAATGGCCACAGGCACTAGTAGCCAGTTCCGACTCTTGGCTCAAAGAAGGCAGAGACTGTGGGGTCAGAGGTGTATTCGAATTCAGAAGGTGCAAAATGAGAAAAGGTTGCTCTACAGAGATGAACAGATGGCCAGGCTTATTTTCGAAGTCAGAGCACCCTTTCAGCAGCCTGATGAGGAGGTTCTTCTATTCCAGTTCCTTTCTTCCGTAGAGAAGGGTAGTGCCTGAGGTAGGAAGGATGAGAAGGAAGCAGGTCCAGGCCAGGATTGGCAAGCACTAAGTGCTCACTTTCCTGCAGGGAGGGTGGCCATTTTTCCATGTCCTGGCCTCCAATGTCTTCTCTGTTCAGTCCGCCAGCTTGGGTTGCAGAGAGTGGGCAAAGGCGGATG